AATTATGCTGGCAGTGGCTGCTATGGTGGCATCTGTAACATAGCCCTTTCCCTGTGCAGTCATTACCTGCTGGGAGGGCACCCCATCTCCTCAGACATGACCTGCTAATCCCTCAGGAGCCCATGGAATTGGAACACCACTTGTACTCCTCTTCCAGTGGCTCTGTCAACTCCAAGGCCTCCTGCAGCTCCTGCAAGTGGTACTCAAGCACTTCTAGTATCTTTGGGGGGAGGTCCCTCCACCCTCATGGAAATGAAGTTCTCCCCGTGCAGCAATTCCAGACTCAAAACCTGCTTCTCTTCATGCTCTGGCTTCTTCACATTTTTGGCTTGACCTTCCTGAACTCATCGTAATTACGGAGGATGAAGTTCATATGCTTGTCCAAAGCCTGAAAAGTGCCGATGAAGATCCGGCCACCTTGCAGGATGCACCTCATTCTATAGTCCAGGGGTCCCCAACCCCTAGGCCAGGGACTGTTAGAAAGTGGGCAGCACAGGCGGAGGTGAGCAGCAGGTGAGCAAGCAAAGCTTCACCTGTATTTACAGCTGCTCCCATTGTTCACATTACCACCTGAGCTCCACTTCCTGTCACCAGCGGAGGCATTAGATTATCAGAGGAGCACAAACCCTGCTGTGAACTGCGCGTGCGAGGGATCTAGGGTGCATGCTCCTTATGAGAATCTAATGCCTGATGATCTGAGGTAGAGCTGAGGTGGTGATGCTAGTGCTGGGGAGTGGCTGCAAATACAGACTATCATTAGCAAAGAGGTTTGACTGCACAGAGACCATCATAAATCAACTGCTTGCAGATTCATCAAAACCCTATCAGTCAGTGACCAGTGACAGTTAAGCTGCATCTGATGCCAGGCTATACAGCCATGCCCCCTGCCACTGGTCCATGGAAAAACTGTCTTCCACCAAACCAGTCCCTGGTGCCAAAAAGGACAGGGACCGCTGCTATAGTTGATGTGCTGCAGCATCTTGCTGCTCTTTCCTGCAGTCATGGTGGCTGTAACACTAAATCCCAACATTCACAGTAGTTTCAAGATCCTTAAAACTGAAGGGAAGCTACAGATAAAGGTATGATGCAGGTTCTGCTACAAACAACGCAAGCTGGGGCAGAAGCTTCAAACAGTAGTCAGAGCCTGGTTTTTTCACTGGGAGTCAACTACCTGAGATGTCTTGACTTCTTTAACCACATTTTGGTGTCTCAGCTAAGAAAGCCTGACTCATTTCTGCCAGGTACTTGCTGCTGCTGAGATCATCTCCGGTACAGCTGACACTTGTGTTTGCTCAGGGATGCTGTCCTCCTATGTTTGCCCTGAACTTCCACCTCCTGCTGTTGCATAGTCCTTCTGAAGTGTAAGTGGCCACTGGCAGCTCCTTGTACCACAATGTCAGCCATCTCTGGCAGCCGCTCCACTCTGTGCTGGCCTCACAGCTGCATTGCCAACTCCTGGGCTAATTTATTTTAACCATAAGAATACAGTCACTAAGCACTTAAACATGTAAAAATGTTCTGGGTCATTTTGTTAAGCTGGAGAGGGCGAAGATAGGAGAGAGAAAGCTGTAACTACTCATTCCTCTCTCTAGGCTAGAGGTCTCCACAGCCCTCTAGATGTGGTTATTATAAAAAGTAGATCCTGGTGCACCTGGTAAGCAGAAGGAAGGGGAGGACCTTGTGGGCAGAGGCCTGGATCTTAGTGGCATCCATTTGATCCTCACACAAATATCTTCTCCAAAGTTACTTTCTGCTCCTGGCTGCATATTCAAGTATCAAATTGGTTTACCCTACTTATTCACATTGCTCAGGAAGCTAAAGAATTGAGAGACATTTTCATGTTTATTTTAAGTAATTTTACAGTATGGTTTCCAGGCTAATTCCAGGGCAGGGTTTGAGCATGGAAGGTGGTGGAAGTGATAAGGGAGGATTTACCTCGGCCTCGACCCTGTGTACTTTTCTTGCAAAATAGTGGAGTCCAAACCACCCTCAGGATGTTCTGAGCCAGAGCTGTCCTGATAAAAAGTTTCTGACCCTGAGATAAGTCATATGGTCTGCTTTGCCTCTGCCTCCAGCATCTTCACCCCAGTGCAAAGGAACATTCAAAGGTCACTCCAGAGGAGAAAGGGGAATGACTAAAGCAATTTGCAGCTCTAAGCAGGGTGAATGGAGAAATAATGGCTGGCAGGCCTTAACACTGGTGGGAGAGCATCATGGGCACTGGGAAGCTGGCTAACTTGAACATTATATTTCTAAACATTTTGTCTATTTATATTACTCACTTATTCTCAACTGCTCCCCTGAGGGTTTACGAGGGACTGCCTGTCTCTTCTCTCTCCTTCCAAGTTGGGAAACACCTCCCAAAGTCACTGCTTGGCTCTGTGCACAGCTCGGGCCATGACATTTCTTGTTTTCCAGGGGCTCAGAGGCCCCTCTGAGGTGATAACAGTGGTTGCTTTCTGTGGAGGACTTCGTGACTTACTCTGTCATGGGGTTGTAGGAGGAAAGCTGGGCAGGATTGGCCTAATCATCTCTGGATTTCCACCAGACTGGCCTCATTCACAGAAGTCCAATGCATAATACTTGTTCGCTGGAAAGGCCTGTGAACCAGAGTCAAAGGAGCCGTGACTGTGATACTGCAGCACCAACTTATTGCTCTCCTCCTGGGTTTAGGCAAGTCTTTCACTCTTGGGTCTCAGGTTCCTAGACAGCCCATCCTTGTACACGGTCTTTATTCAGAGTCAAGAAGGCACCTCATGTCAGTCACTAGTCCCAGTGTCTGCCACAGGACAGGTGTCCCTGGGAGTAGGACCCTGGGCATTTCTTCCTGTAGTAGGGTCTGGACATGCAAAGTGGAGCTGGACACAAACTGATACACCAGGCAGATCCACCCTCCACCCTGAGCTGCAAATGAGCTGGATGGTCAGAAACCTACCTCTGACATTTCCTGTTCCTTCATTCCATCCACTGAGCATTTACGCAGCACCTAGTAAACACTTTCATATGCTGAAGATAAAAGGGTAATTGAGAGAGAGTCCCTGGTTAGTCTCAAGGGTCTTCTCATCTAGTTGGGGAACTCATATCACAGGAGAGTCCAAAGGCTAATATTACCTTCTACCTATTCTTTTCCCTACCGACCCTCTCAGCAGTGTGATTCCCCCTTCCTGTCCCTACTTGGACCTTGGCCCTTTTTTTCTCCTATCTCTCAGTCTCTCACTTCCGTGGATGCCCATTCAATTCTGTTGTAAAGGACTGAAGAGGGTATTTTGGGGGAAAAATTATTTAGCCATTTTTATTACATCAGTCATCATTTTACAATGGGGAATAATGTATGATCAGAGATAGAACATTCTGGACAATTTGAAGAGTATTTTTGGACACTTTGTGCAGCCACCATTTCTAATTTTTGTTTCAACATCTGCTCCCAGAGATTCTTTCATCCACCAAAAATTTATGGGGCGTCTTACTCTAGGCCAGGCACTTTTCCAGGCATTAGAAATAGAGCAGCAAACAAAGCAAAATCTCTGTTCACATAGATTTACATTGTAAAGTGTAGGCAGACTGACAAAATTCTATATGATATGATGTCTGCTTGTATGACAAATGCTATGTAAAGAAATGAAGCATCTTGAGGGGTTATAAATTACTGCAGAAAGCAGAGCGCTCTGATAGATGAGGTTGTCAGGCAAGTCCTCTCCAAAAACAGTGGGAGATGGTGTCAGGCAGGTAACTGGGGAGAGTCCTTGCTAGGCAAAAACAACAGAAAGTGCAAAGAACCTGAGATCAGAGCTACTTGTGTGTGAGAATCAAGAAAGTGGACGTTACAGTTCGGTTCATTACAGCAGAGCAAGGAATGGGAAGAAGCTTAGAAAGTGAGGCAGGGCCTCTGGGCCATGACTAAGACTTTGCTTTTACTGTGAGTGAGAAGGAAAAAAATGTCAGAGTGTTTGGTTCAAGATATCTATCTCTTGTTCTAAAGAATTCCTGCGCCTCATCTGCGGAGAATATATACACTATAGGAAGAGAAGAGTGAAAGCTAAGAGATTCGTTGTAGTAATCTGGGTATGAAAAGGAGGCTGAGATCTGGGTGGTTAGTAGTGGCAGAAGTGACAAAAAAGTGATTAAATTGGGAATAGAGTTTAAAAGCAGAGCCAACAGTTGGCTGTTAAGGGCTTGGACACAACTCGATTGTCAAAAACTCTTTGAATAATGATATTCAAAGTAGAACAACAAAACCTTTTAAAAACACAAGTCTTAATTGTTAAGCAAAAATAACATCCAGGGGCCAAGGGACACTAATATTAGGACATGAAATAGTCAAAGATAGGAAGCATGGCTGCAAATGGTTATTGGATGATTTTGTAGAACTTTTTATACTTCACTATTTACAAAAATAAAAATTAAAAAAGGATAGAGAGATACAATACTACTTCTCAACTAAAGAAAATCCCTGTTTAACTATTTTATTTTGTCTGAAAGACAGGACTCCTGGGGGCGTCTTTCATTACTCTGAAACAATGGATGTCTACTGCTGTTGCGGCCAGCAGTGCTAATAGCTCCCTGGGTGAAATTTAAATAAGCAAGAAAATGTGTTAACAAAGAGCATACAAATGGAATCTGCTGGCCACTTGCCCACCAAGGAGCAGAGCATTGTGTGAGTCGGCTGGGTTGAAGGGTAGTTAATCCTTTAAACTGGAGCAGGTATACCCTCTCTCTGAGAGATGGGTCTTAGCACTCACTGAGTCCTGGCAAATGCCAGTCCCCTATCCAGGGCTCGGGCGCAGTCCCCTGCCTCCTTATGCAGAGTCCTTAAGAATACCTGGTCCTGAAACCTGGAAACGGCCCAGGCTCTGACCACGCCCTCCTCAGTCAAGTCTTCGCAACCTTACCCGCCTCGTCTGGCCACGCCCCCACGCTGCGCCGGACTCGTCCCGGGATACGCGGGCTCCCTGTCTCCGCCCACCCCGTCCCAGCGACGCGCTGGAGCGCCGGCCTCAAAAGCCGCTTTGTGGGCTGGAACTCTCATAACTGCCTTGACTTCTCTGTGCCGCTCGTTCTTCTCCTGGACATCGGCGCCTCCGCGGTCACGCACGCCCTGCGTGGCCTCTGTGCGCACCTTAGCCGAGCCTAGCAGAACGGAGCCCAACCTGTCGAAGCTGTTCGCCATGGTGGACGAGCTGGTCCTGCTGCTGCACGCTCTCCTGGTGCGGCACCGCGCCCTGAGCATCGAGAACAGTCAGCTCCTGGAACAGCTGCGGCTGCTGGTGTGCGAGAGGGCCACCCTGCTGCGCCAGGTACGTCCGCCGCCGAGCTGCCCGGTGCCTTTCCCGGAGACGTTTAACGGCGAGAGCTCGCGTCTCCCCGAGTTTATCGTGCAGACGACGTCTTACATGCTGGTCAACGAGAACCGGTTCTGCAACGACGCCATGAAAGTGGCATTCCTAATCAGCCTGCTCACCGGGGAAGCTGAGGAGTGGGTGGTGCCCTACATCGAGATGGATAGCCCCATCCTGAGTGATTACCAGGCCTTCCTCGAAGAGCTGAAGCAGTGTTTTGGCTGGGATGATGAAGAAGAAGACGAGGAGGAGGAGGAGGAGGAAGAATATGGTTACTAGGCCGGGAGACCCTCAGGCCTAGGGGGTTGGGCCCTGCACGCTGCCACCCGAGCCCCCCATCCTGCTTTGCCTCTCCCACAGCTCCGTGCTTCTCCTAGCCTCCCGACCTTCTCCCCTGCCTCTGTCCTCTGGTCCTTTCCCTTCACTTCCTGTAGTGCTTGTCTTTGTTCCAAGAATTGTGCTCCAGTTACCTGCTGCTGGGGCCTGGAGTTGTCTCTGAAGCTTGCTGCCATCCACTCTGGCCAGCACCAGGACGCATCCCTGCTACTTTGGACTGTGTACTGAGCCTCAGCTGGTCAGACAGTGCGCAGCCCTGCCAACTGCCAGACCTACATCTGCCCAGAGACCTGCGCTGCCTCTACACCACCGTCCACTACATTCCAGCAACAGACCACCACCGCCTTTGGAGATGAGGACCAGCCTAGAAGATGCCTGCGTTGGCTGCACCTCCTTGGACATTGATATGGACATCTCACCAACCCCTGAAGGGGCCAGACTTTCAACCTGGTTAGTTTCATACCTATTCCCAGAGCCCCCCTCCCCCACCATATAGCTGCAGGGGCCTAGTGTTCCTGGCAGCCAAATTGTGGACATTCTTTTCTACTATGCACCAGTTTTACATAGCTGTCATTTTTTTGTTTAACAATTGCAGAAGTCACACAGATGTGTGCATTTGGACAAAAATACTAAAAACAAACAAAAACAGGCATTCAGCCCAGCTTCTCAATACTATCTGGAAAATGCATTTGAGTTCTTTTCAATAAATACTGAGCACTATGGAAAAAAAAGGAGTGTCTTTTAATGGTTAAGTACTAGCATTGGCCTCTACCACTGTCACCTGACTTCCATTATTCCCGTTGAGATCAGGGGAGCTAGTTGAGTCCCAGTATTCCCCAGTGGCGTCTCTAGGCTGCAGAGGAAAGGTACCACAGGGCTGTATAAGGATTCTGGTTCTCCCCTCACCAAGGCATTTCTTAAAGCTTTGTCGAAGGGAGTGTCTTCTGGGGCCTCCAGGGTGGCATAGGTAAAGGGTGGCTGAGCGGGTAGCACACCATTCTAAAGTGGGACACTTGAGAGTGAAAGGGGGCACCATTATTAATTATACTAGGACAGTGGACATAAGTCTGGACACCTACAATGTTCCTCCATTCCTGAGCCTTTGACTTCCTTCCTGAACACTGCCAGGGAGATTCTGCCCCTTAATCCTTGTCACCTGTGGGTGCTGTTGATGTCAGGGTTTGATGAACAACGGAGCACCTTATTTTAATGTCCCTTTCAGATGCTCGAGATAACCTTAGGTTCTGGATCCTGGGTAAGTGCACCCGTAATAAATAGAGCCCGACCGTAACATTTCACCCTCCTTGGGCTGACATCATTAAAATGCTCACCCATACATGTGCCCCAGAGTCCTGCCTCTTGGAAATTGGCATGGTGCCTGGGGGTCTCCCGAACTTGACTTTGCACTGCTGAACTCTGCCGACATCACCTTATGGGCTTGTGGGGGGCTCAGAGACATTGCAGAGTCCAAGTCCGGTGGGTGGGTGGGTATTGAGGAGAACCTGCACACCTTTGCAAGGTCAATATCATAGGTTAAATTATGGAAACAAATCAGAGAAGCTTGGTTGAGGGATTGTGGGGGGGGACCTCTGCCAACCAGGAAATTTCAGGAGGATTTGGAGTGTTCAGAGTTGTCATTCTCACCTATGTGTCCAAATGCCATTGTACCATGCCTGGAGCCAGCCCTATGTTAGGAGCTCTACCCGAATCTAGAAGCCATTTCCTTATTGTTTAAGACCTTTTTGAGGCTGGGTATTCTTTTATTTGTACTGGTAAACCTCACTGTGGATTAAATGACATACTGCTCATTATACTGGCCACCACCTCACAGACATAGAGTTGATGAGATCACACCTCTGAGGTATTTAGAACTGTCCCTGCTACATGGTGAGCACTCAATAAATAGGCCTGGGAACTGAAGTTTCACTTGGAAGCAGGTCTCTTGCTACCAGCTCAGCTTTAGTTGCTATGAACACGGGCAGAGCAGGCTCAGGGAGAGTAAAAATGAAAGCATGGCAACACCTTCTTTACTCTTTGGGATCTGATATGAAGTCACAGAGAAAGCCAGTCTATTTGGTGAGTGGTTAGAGTCTAGGGTGGTAGTCATTTCTAGGGCCTAGGAAAGTTGTTTCTGGAAGGTGGGAACGGGTGGGTATTACTTAGCAAAGGAGGTTGAGGCCCAAGTTGAGGGTTTATGTGGGAAAGTGGGTAACAGACAAATACTAGGTAAAGGGTCCAGTGACACCGAAAATTAATCATTCAAAATTATCAGTGGTCCAGGTGGACTCAGAGGAGTTAGAGAAACGGTAGTAAATGAAAGATGGTTTTGTCCTCATAGTGATTATAGTTCCTTGTTTTTGTGCTGCCTTGCACCAGAACTGGAAAGGTATTTAGCTACAGGCAAGGCTCAGAAAGAGAATCTAGATTCTAGACTGTGATTAGATGTGGGCGTGAGCTTTCTCCGGACAGAAGTTGAAGGCCAGTACATGAGATTTATTCCTCACGATCGTACCAAGTGAGTACATTCTCTGTAGGGGAAGGAAGTGTTCTCTGGCGAGTGAGGATATCATACCAAGGTAGCATCTTAGTAGCATCCATGAGAGCTAGGCCAAGAAGCTTCTGAGATCTGAAAGGTGCATGAGCTTGCTCTGAATTGAGAGAGAGAGAGAGAGAGTGTGTGTGTGTGTGTGTTGTCTTTCACATATTATGGAAAAGCAGGTTGTGCTATGAACTGCAGAGGACCGTAGTGTGAGAATCTGGCTACCTTTCGGGGCCAGATTCCGCAGTAAAAGCACAGAGACATGGGCAAAGGCTGTACCACTCAGGAAGTAATTCACGGAAGTGCCAGAAGGCAGAGTAAAAGAGAATGGAGAAGTAAATAACCATGTCTAAAGATAAAAGCTCCACTCAGATGGAAACTATTAAGAGGGGATGAAAATGATGAAATAACAAATACCAACTATGAACTCCTGAATTCTCATCTTGGGCACACTAGACTGGAAATGGTCACTGAAATTATGCTATTAATGACATGACATTAATCATAATAAAGATCATAATCATTTAATGATATTAAATCTACCAATGTGTCTTTGGATTTCCTTAATCATTTGAATTGGTAAGCACTATGACCCATTAATTCTATGTTGCTGTGTTTTGCAAGATGACATAAACATAGAGGTACATTTTGCACATTGTTTTCAGTTATTTTCTGCTATTACAACATAATGAAAACCTCAGCAATTAGAAAGTAGGCAGTCTAGAGGGACACTTCTTGTTGAAATTGGTGGAATAGTTATATTTTAATTATTTTAAAAATATTTTATTGCTTGTGCTATTATATTTGTCCCAGTTTTTCCAAAACAGCTATCATTAACACATCAGTAAACAAGTGCTTGATATTTATTTTTTTAAGAAATGAACCTTAAACTAAGGGGGGTGGAAATGGGAGGGAGGTGGGGAGCAAGGGGTGGGGGAGGCTGGGATGGGAAAAATAGACAAAAAACTGTACTTGAAAAATAACTAAATAAAATTTAAAAAAAAGAAAAGAAATGAACCTTAAATTTTTTCTAGGTTCTCAAAGCAATTAAAACAAGGATAATAAAGGGTTATCAGTACAAGGTCCTGAGAATGTTTTCTTCAATGTATGATTAGGGTGGGACAAATTGTATGAAGTGTATTTATTATTTGCTTTGAAATAGAACTTTGCTAAAGCGCTGTTAAAAGTATCTGGTAGTTTGCATCACAGAGTATTATTCCCTATAGTCTTATATTCACTTAGTTCTGTTCACAGGTAGATACAGTGAACTGTCTGGTATCCTTCCACGGTGCTGGTAACCACTTCTCTTAATGAAAATCTGGTCACCTCCCCCTTGCATTTTTATCTTCTTGTCTGAAATGCCTCTGTTAGCATTTTTCCTTCATCTTCAAATGTTACAATGTGCAAAGACATATTTTTAAACAGTGCAATTAGCCTGGTATAGGTAATAGCTTGCTTGAAGTAGTAATTATTAGCAGCATAGCAAGATTTGTTAGTGGAGCAGAAGGCCTCCCCTGGATGGGTTGGTGGAATAGTGATGAAGCACTGCAAAGTGTGTTTCAGAATAGCAACGTTTATGCATCTCCCTTTCTCCCTTCAGGGCCTGCCATCTGATATAATCAATAAGAAATTAATTTTTGTATCATAGTGTCTGTAAGGTTTGCATTCCTCCTCCTCCTTCCTCCCTAAATGACAAATAATTTAATCAGAAAATTGCAATAATATATTTCTTTCATTTTAGCCAAAGTCACTGTATGGTCTGTTTAACTGAATCTCCACTCAGTTCAGAGTCATCTAGTCAACTCAAGATTAAAAAGCAAAAAAAAAAAAAATTGTTACAGGACTGGTTATATGCCTCACTTTAAATCTTTAGTTTTAAAACAAATACTACCAGTAAAAGAAATCAAAGGAAATTATATTCCAATAGTAACTGAAGTAATTGTGATAATTTTTATTTATCTGTTCTCTAGACACAGATAATTGCATAGCAGTACAGGACTTTTGAAACTGCTCATTTGGATGTACACGATTAAATTTGTAACATATACACAAGTAGAATAGTACAATGAGCCTGCATAGACCCATCCCTGGAATCAAAATTTCATTATGCTAAGTGAAATAGGCCAGGGGTTGAAAGACAAATACCATATGATCTCACCTTTAACAGGAAGCTAAACAACAAAACAAACAAGCAAGCAGAATAAAAACAAAGACACTGAAATAGAGAACAAGGGGACAGTGACCAGAGGGGAGAGGGAAGGAAATTTAAAGGGGAAAAAGGGGAGGGATTTGGAGAAGCAAATATGAAGGACACAAAGATGAGAGCTGTGGGGGGTGGAAATGGGAGGGAGGTGGGGAGCAAGGGGCGGGGGGCTGGGATGGGAGAAACAGGCAAAAAACTGTACTTGAAAGATAACTAAATAAAATTATTGAGAAAATTTACTGACATTTTTTGCCTAATTTATCCCTTTTTTCTTATAATTGTTATGAAGTATTTTAAATCAACTTCAGATGTATCAATTTACTTGAGTAATCCATTACGTTCCTTTACCTGATAAGTCTTTAAAAACAATCCATGATATCATCATCGCACTAAAATTAACAGTGATGCCTTACTATTTTAATACTCAATTTTATTGAATACCCCAGTGTCTTAAAATGTCTTTTTTTAGTAAAAAGATTTCATTTATTTTGAGAGAGGGGAAGGGAAGGGGAAAGAGAGGGGAAACATCCGTATGTGGCTGCCTCTCGCACAGTTTAGCCAAACTGGAAGCAGCACAAAGAATTACAAATACGTACTCCTGAAACCACTATAGAGGAGATACAGAATAGGACTGATAAAAGTGATCAGAATAAACTGGAAATGAAGAAAACATTTAAAAGTTCCCTACTGGGAACCTGGCCCACAAAACTGGCCACCCTTTGGTTCACAGGTGAGCACTCAATCCACTGAGGCATACCAACTGGAACAAAAATGTCTTGTTAGTTATTTGGTTGAATTATGTTTCAGAAAAGATGAACACATTTGGTTGATGCATCTCTTAACCATCTTTTAATTGGTTACAGTTCCCCTCCACCCTTAATTTACCCTGTAAGTTATTTGTGGAGGAATGCAGGTCATTTGTCCTGTAAGATTTTCTATTTCTTATATTTGCTTTATTCTTTTCATATCCTTGAC